TACACCGTTTTGCGACAAGCATCCAAATATTTGCAAACAAGAGGTCTGGATTATTTAAGTGCTTGGAATATGGTAGAGTCAGCAAAACAAGAACTGCAGACAATATCGTTCAAAGATGTCCATTACAAGAAAATTGCATTTGTTAAAAAAATCAACACCCACCTAGATGCTAGTGAACTTGATTCAGAAGTTGAAACAGAATTGCGTGTAGAACAAGTTCATCGAAAGAAACGTATGGCAGGGAAACTCGCCTTTAATGACATACCAGAGGATCCTCTTGATCGTTTCAGAATTGATGTTTTCCGTAGAGTAATTGATCAGATTACCACTAGCATAGATAAACGTTTCTCAGTTAGAGACACTGCGTGTTTAGATCCCAGACGTTTTAAAGAAATTGTTAAATATGGTATTCCAGAAAACAGTCATGCAAAAATTTCTCAACTAACTAATCTTTGTTCTGAAAGATTGAGATCTGAATTGCATAGCATTGCTATAAACTTTGATAGGCTCTCAAAAACTTTACGAGATGAATTTACCGTGAGTTCTAGTGACAAAGATTCAGAAGAATCGAATTCAGTCTCAGAATTGGATACTTCAACAAAAGCAACTGAAAATGAGAATAATAGAGATTTTCAGAAATTTGAGCGTTGTGTAGGGGTCTTGTAAAAAATGTTTAAAATGTTGCTATAGTATTTTATACAAATATTCGTTGAATGCAATTACTTATTCAAATCTGTTTCTGGCTTTCGAATATCTATTAACACTTTCATTTTCACAAGTGAGCTGTAAACGGCCATTTAGTAAATTAAAAATTGTCAAAACTAGGCTTCGTTCCTCATTATGTAACGACAAGCTTGAAACATTTATGCTGATGTCGACCGAGAAGGACATTTTGGATTCAATTGCAGTTGAGGATGTAATTGGCTATTTGTGTAAGGATTCCGTAGAGTTATCAAAGATGTTGCTTTTATAAATTACATTAGGAGATTGTAGTCAGTTACAGTATAAATACCAGATAAACCACAGGGTCCATTTTGATTTATTTTTTTTTTATCTTAAATGATTTAAAAAAAGGTTTATTATTCATTTATCATAATAAATTCATCGTGTTATTATTATTGTTGTTATTATTGCTATTATTATTATTGTTATTACTGCTATTATTATTATTATCATTATTATTATTATTATTATCATTATCTACATAATTATCATGTATATTTCATTCGTAAGTAAAATAACATACTGAATTATATTATAAGCCTGAATGATCTTTGAACTTTGAAAGTGTAACATTATTTTACCTATTCATATTCAAATTAAAAAGACCTTTATATAAACACTAGCCTATTTTCTACCCCTATCCCGACCTTGTAGCACCCCTCCCTCTTCCCTTCCCGGTTGGATTTGAAGCCCCAGTCCGCACCTGCTCATATATATTTAAGATCAAGGCCGTCCCGAAGGAGAAGGGGTGTCCCCCCTCCCCCCAAAGCTGTCATATAAGCATTTGAGTTAGCACATTGAGCAAGTTTTGCTCAATGTGCCAACTAAAATGCTTTTTGAGTTGGCATTTTGCCAACTATATTTATCAATATAGTTGACATTTTGCCAACTATATTTATATTAAAGTTATAGTTGGCAAATTTAAATATAAATGTAGTTTGCTATATTTATAGTTGGCAAATTGCTAGTATTAAAGACCTTTTCTTTTTTTTTTGTGTGTGTGTCCTTAGTTGGCAAAAAAATACTTACACCCCCCATGGAAGACCTCTTCGGGACGACCCTGTTTAAGATTAACTCAAAAATAATCTTTTGAAGATAACATTTAATTTGGCAAATAATATATATATATATATATATATATATATATATATATATATATATATATATATATATATATATATATATATATATATATATATATATCTTTTTCATTTTCTTGTTATACGATATTTATGTTTGATGAGTTTGATTAAAAAGGCAGCGTATAAACTTTTTGTTTTAAATATATTTTGATGTTAATATATATTTATATTTACAATATTTAAATTTTGATATTAATATATATATATTAATATATTTTGATGGTAATATTTTGATGTTTTGATAATATATAAATATATTTTGATGTTAATATATATTTATATTTACAATATTTAAATTTTGATATTAATATATATATTAATATCAAAATTTAAATATTGTAAATATAAATATATATTAACATCAAAATATATTTAAAACAAAAAGTTTATACGCTGCCTTTTTAATCAAACTCATCATATATATATATATATATATATATATATATATATATATATATATATATATATATATATATATATATATATATATATATATATATATATATATATATATATATATATATATATCATTCAGAAAATTATACAGAAGCATACAAAAACTTTTCGAACCGTGACGTTTTCATAATAATTTTTGTAATAATTTAAACTAATTTTGATGTAACCATCAAAATTATTTAGCAAAAAAAAAAGTTTGAAAAAAAAAAAATATTGTTAACATGCAGTTTTTAAGACGCAATACTGAAAGTAGGAAAAAATATTTCGAAATTAAAGAGCTTTTCCTATTTCGGCAACTCTACCAATAGTGTTATAAATATAAACTATTATTAAGTAGCTGTTAATAAGTTATATAATTAAGAAAATAATAAGCTATGTTTCCTTAATTATAGTAATAATTAGGAATTGCAACTTTTTGTATTCTCTATTAATATGTATAAAGACATTTTAAGACATACTTTAAAATGACATAAAGACATACTTTAAAATGACAAAAAAAAGAATTTATTTACAAAAACGGGGCCTGTCCGGGAGTTGAACCCGGGACCTCTCGCACCCTAAGCGAGAATCATACCACTAGACCAACAGGCCGACCCTAGAATATACGATAATATAAATTGTATACATAATCTAACATTTTATATTAAAATATTATTTTTTAGTATTTAATTTGGTACCAATAGACAAAAACAATAAAAATTGTGTTTTTGTCTATAGAAAAATTGGCAGCCAAACCACAGCTCTGAAGTAATGTAATTTTAAGTTCAGTAAACATGTCAGACTTGTATAAAGTCTCTTTTAACAAAAGTATTGCTACTTTATTAAAATACTTCAGGGTATTTACGGATATTTTCTGTGTTTTACATTTTCTGTAATATAAGAACAAAATTTATGTGAAACAAATGTTGCATCCTACCCCGTTCACTTTTTTTTTTCTATTTCTTTTCAAAATGGCGGGTTAACTTTTTTGTTGTTGTTTTGTTCTTATAACAATATTTTCTGGAGGTTGTACAAATAAAAACAAAGAAAATCAAATAGGATTGTAAGATCCTATCACCGAGATTCATTTAACAATTAAATAATAATAAATCACTTCAAAAATTATAAACTAAAAGTACAATACAATATAATACAAATAAAATTTGGTATTTAAAATATATATATTTTTTGTTTTTTATTACATTTTAAATCATTACGTTGATATATTTTATAAAATTTACAAGCTAAAATATAATAATATAAACAATTACAAGTGAAGATATATATATATATATATATATATATATATATATATATATATATATATATATATATATATATATATATATATATATATATATATATATATATATATATGTATATATATATATATATATATATATATATATATATATATATATATATATATATATATATATATATATATATATATATATATATATATATATATATATATATATATATATATATAAAAAGAATGCGGAAACTCGTAGAAGACCGTATGGTCTTGTCGTCGAATACCGATGTAAATTTACATATTTTAATATATAAGTAATTTATAAGTATTTATAAGTTTCTTTCAAAATTTTTTGTACTTTAGTACAGTAATCAAGTTCATATACGTATAATTACATAAAATAGTCAATTTTATTTGTCAGTATAGTAGTCCAATTCTGTATAATTGTCAATTTACAAAATAATATTTCTGAAAAAAGTTGTAAGGGGGAGGGAAGGGGGGCTACTACCCCATGGCCTCCCTCAAAAAAACCTGCTACTGAATAGAATCCAGTTAATTTTGTCAATATTTACTGAAAGTTTATTTACTTTAAACCAGTCGGAAATTTTTTTAAGTTCTAAGTTTATAATTTCAAATAATATAGTAATGTTGCTGTACGATAAAAATAAATTTGTGTCGTCGGCAAACATTATTGTCCTCAGGCTGGATGCTTTAAGAAGATCATTGACACATATAAGAAAAAGAAGAGGTCCCAGTATAGAGCCTTGTGGCACGCCACAAGTAATGTTAAGTAGTAAAATAATAATGTTTAATATAATATATAAAACACTGACATTTTTTAACGATACAATAAAGATACACTCAAATACTTTAAATTACATTTAGGAAACACTTATAAAAGAGGATCGAAAGAACTTGAAAATATCATCTATTGAGAAAATAACTTTTTTTCAGTTTATTTTAAAATAAATAATTTTATTAAAAAAATTTTTGAAAGTAGGAAATTTCCAACTAAATTCTACACTATCGGTTTTGAATTAATGTCTCTATTATTATTTTTTTTAAGTTACAAGAAACAAATAAAGTTTTTTAAAAAAGTGTGGCAACTAGCCTAGATCTCCACCGGTCTCCTCTACATTAAAAATGCCTCTTTAACAAAGGTTTGACATTTTCAATGACATGAAAAACTAATTTTCATGCAAGAGTTTGTATCGTTGTAATATATTTATCGCAAATATAGGTATTTTTTTTTTTTGAGACAAATATTTCTTATCTGTTTCAATTTTTACCGTTTCGTTTCGGAAAATGTTTAACTTTACTTCGTTTTGTATTGATTTTTATAAAATAAAACTTGTTTTGTACTGATTTTTACAAAACAAAACTAAACTTGTTTTGTTTCGTACCAAATAGTTTTGAGGCACTGCTTTTTGATATAATTTTGCCGAATACTGTTAGGGGTAACTTAATTGTAAATAAACACAATGGCGGCGCACGAAAGTAGTGCGAATGAGTCCTCAAACACTTGTCAACCTGTCAAAACAACTCCAAAAGATGCACTTGTAATGGCAGCAATACTGAAAGAGCTTGGCGTTACCGAATATGAACCCCGAATAATTAATCAAATGATCGAGTTTGCTTACCGTATGTTTTTTTTTTAAAAAAAAAAATTAAATATACTTCCTTGATCCCATAAAATAACCATTGATGGTGAATGACACAAAATAAGAATATTCAATATATAGAGTTTTTAAATACTGAAGTGCTATGGTGCTATCATATTTGAACTTTAAATACTAGATTTATTCCATAAATAGTAAGCTAAACCTTTCGTGATCAGGTGTTACTAAACTGTAGAGACACCTGACCAGGTCCATATTATTAGTATGACGAACATAAAAACAAAGTTTTTTCTGTTTAAAAGTAAGTCAAAAAAAAAAAGGCGTGTCATATCAATAATATTAATATAACATACAATAATATTATAATGTTATGTGTTATATTAATGATATTAATATAACACCCGACATGTCAACACTTTTTTTTTGACTAGTTTTTAGACAGAAAAACTTTGTTTTTTGCATTTAACAAAGACATTTTTACACAAGAAGTATCGAAGCAGATTTATCAATTAGTTTATCCAATCAAACAAAACCTTTAGTCTTAATAGAGTCAATGTTTTGATTGATATTTGTGTTTACAATTTATGTGAGCTGTTTAGATTTAATTACTAACAACATTCTTCAAAAATAATATTTATTCAAAATTACCAGTTAAGGTTGTAAATCCAGCGATATAGACTTAACTTGAAAGTACATTCTAAATACAATAGAAATAAAGAAAATTAGTTGTCTAAATTTGGTTTTAAATTTTGCCTGTTGGCAATTTCAATTTTATTTGTCTAATAACCAGATAAAAAAACAACCATAAAAAAACTGTGAACAAAATATGGCACTGTTTTACACCTATTATTTTATGATTGATTATAAATTTTATGCATAAACCAAAAATTTTTATAAAAATTGGCATAAACAAAACTACATGGTTAGGGTCAGGGTTAGGGTCAGAAACAATTAGAAACTAATAGGTTTTGCTTCAAATATTTTTTGCTTCAAAGTGTTAAAAACCAGGCTGTTTTAAAGTTAACTAAGAAAGAGAATCTAATCATATTTGAGTATGAAGAAAATGGTAAGTATTAGCCTTTTAAGTGTAATTTTTCAAACTTCAACATCGAATTAGCTTTCCTCAAATTTTCAGGTCAATGTATTTATATGATTCTTGATCAGCATGAAATTCTCTATGGAAATCAATCATAAAATGACAAGGGTAGGTATCTGAAACAGTCCCCAAAATATAATATAAGTGACAGCGCTTGAAATAGTTTTTCAAAACTTTTGTGAAAAATTGTAATTTTTTCACAAAAACAGGTTATTTTCCCTTGAATTTTCAAAACTTCTCTTAAAATAGCTGATCGTTGATCAGCCGTTATTTCGAGCGATGAAGTGATTTAAAAAACAACAACAAAAAAAGTTTCATAAAACAGCAAAATATAATTTGTAATAAATATGAATCCACCAACTGTATTGATGTTCTGAAAAATATAAATTCATTCAAAGCACTTATATTTGTTATTTATGTTGCTTACATATGAAACTTTAGCTATATAGTGTTTAGCACTGCTAGCATTCTAAAATAGACCTAGAGGAGACTGGTTCTCCTAGGAACGCCATGTTCCTAGGGACACTCAAATATTTTGAGAATTTTGTATGAGAGCATAATATTTTTTGCATGTGGCAACACTCCACCTTTTGAGGTCAGTTGACAGCCAAAGTGTCATCGTGTTGGTGTGAAGCGTTGCAAAGTGGTGATTAAAATTTGATTTTACAACATTTTTACGTAAGTTTTTTAACATTTTACTTTTTTAATTATGCCCTTATTATGTATTTAACAAAATCTTTCTTAGTTTATACAAATACATTATTTTGTTTGCTTGAATATTGCATAAATAATATATCTCAAATCCTAACCTCAAATTTTTAGTCAGCGCTTTTTTTAAATTTGCGCCCTGTTGTACCTGGGACATGTCCCTAGATACATGTTTTTCTTTTTTTTCTGACACACCAGAAAAAAAGAAAATAGAGGAGAGGAAAAGAAAGAAAACAACTTGTAACAATAAATCGAAAAAAAAAAACGGGAAATACTGCTGAAAAATAAAGTTTCTAAAAAGTATAAATTGAAAACAAAAAAGAAAACCCACAAACCAGTCGAACCCACAAAACCATAACCCAACGAACCAGTCTTGAAATGAAGATTCTTCTTAATTAAAGTATTTTTTATTCTGGAAAAATTGGTATCACTCTTTTTGACCTATAATTATTAACTATTTTATTTTAAACACTGTTGTTTCTTAATGATAGTATTTTTGTCCTGGATATGTTGATGTTACATTTTTATCTATAAGTTTTAACTATTCAAAATATATTGCTGCTTCTCAATTCAATTATTTTTTGTACTGGAAAAATTGATATCCCTTTTTTTTTTTTTATCTACTAGTGTTAATTATTTTAAATATAATGTTTATTTACAATTTAAATATTTGTTTGTTCTGGAAAAATTGATCTCACTATTTTTATTTATTAGTGTTAACTATTTGAAATAAAATTGTTGCCTTCACTACAAATAAATAGTTCTTTTTACAATCTTTATCATTGTTTTAGTTTCCTTTCAGGATTTTTTTACAGGTTCTTTTTTATTTATAATTATTAGCTCAATAGAAGCCAATCTGAGTATTCGATTACCCAGCGTCCCTGGATACAACCGCCGTCCTTTGGTACAACCACCTATCTCCCTAGGTACAACGTGGGGTTGTACCTAGGGACAAAGTCAGACCTCATTTTGCGGCAGAGATTCTCATCAAAAGTGCACAAAGGACCATATTTTCATATACAGTTTTCAAAAGTTCAATTATATTCACCGATGAAAAATTACACTCATTAACTTAGAAGCGTCCCTAGGAGAACCAATCTCCCCTACTGTAAAATATAGTATATATAGTATAAGCCATAATATAATTACAATTTGAATAAAGTGCATGTTTATATGTACATTTTGTTTATTAGTTTAGTTGATTAGCAAGAATAAGCAAGTGATTAAAATATTTAGATGAGCTTAAATCTTTTAAATAAATTTAACAATAATATATATATATATATATATATATATATATATATATATATATATATATATATATCAACCCTCGAAATTAGGGTCGACATTCGTCAATGCTGACCCGACTGCTGACCTGAAAGTATTTGAGGTCGGCAATTTTTTGCCTACGTTTCTATGCTTTATGGTCAAAGTTTTGTATCAAATAATTTTTGCCGACCTGATGCAAGCTTAAAAAGCTTGAGGTCAGCAAATTATTGCCAACCTCATTTTTCCTAATTCCAAGGGTTATATATATATATATATATATATATATATATATATATATATATATATATATATATATATATATATATATATATATATATATATATATATATATATATATATATATATATATATATATATATATTTATATATATATATATATATATATATATATATATATATATATATATATATATATATATATATATATATATATATATATATTAGGGTTCGCACTGTCGGCGCAGATCTGCGCATGTCTATTTTGTTAAATACATAATAAGGGCAAAATTAAAAAAGAAAAATGTTAAAAAACTTATGTAAAAATGTTGTAAAATCAAATTTTAATCACCACTTTGCAACTGCGCAGACATTGTAGTTTGTCTGCGCAGGCATCGGCGCCGACAAAATTTATTATTACTGCTAAAATATACTAAGCTTCGTCTCTCGGCGCAGATATTATTATTACTGACGATTTATTGAAATCAACAAAAAAAGTTTTAAACTTAAAAAATGTTTTAAGTAATCTTTTAACTTTATTATAAATTCAGTGATTAGTAACAATAAGAGTTTTCAAAGATTCTTACAGTAATAAAAATATATAATGCTGGTGCCTATTCGGTGATTTCTTGACATTCAATTTCATTGAGAATTGCACCTGCTTCAAAAATCTAATTAGTCTTGTCATTTGTGTCCATCACCACGCTATTGGTATACAAGAATACTAGCTTTTCAACTCTCTCATTCGTAAGACGATTTCTTAGTCGCAAGTGAATAAATCGAAAAGTCGACCAAGCTCTTTTTGCTGTCACCGATGAGCAGATCATTTCGTTAATAGGCTTAGCAATTTCATAAAGAGCAGGATATTTATCGCGACCGATAATATTCCAATAATTTCGCGAGTTCATCTTGAATTTTGTTTCCTTTCTTCTCTCAGGCAGCACAGAAATTTCTCCTATATAAGCAATCAATTCATCCTCAGCAGTGGCAGCAATTTCAGGTTTGATCTTTTTGGCGAATTCAACTGTAGCAGTGATAAAATCGGTTTTATCTTCATTCAAATATAAACCTTCTGCGGCATTTTTGGGCGTTAATATGAAAGCAATTCCAATATATGGTGTAAAGAGAAAATTGAGGTGAGATTGCACTTTTTGTTGTATGTCTTTATCGTCCATATATGAATGGTACATTTGACCAAAGTAATCATACACGAGAGACAATGGAGCTGTATCACTTTCTAGCTTTCCGATCACGTTGGAAGGAAATTCAATGCTTTTGACAAGCTTAGAGAGACGGTCCCAAAATATGTTAGATTTTATTAACGCCATAACAGCAGCAGATGTATTCTTTGGTTGAATTTCCTTCAGTAATGGACTTTCTTCGTCTACCAACTTAATAAGAACGTATTTTGATAGCTGGAGACTGCTCATTGATTTATAATAACTAAACCATCGTGTAGATACAGGCATGGACAATGAAAGAGAAATGTTTGCTGCAATTCGTCTTTCATCAAACTTTGCTTTCACGATGTGATGATTTTTCATATATTTGATAATTTTCTCTGCATCTTTGACTGTTTTTGTGGCCTCAATTGTAGAAACTATGTCCTTCACAAGCAAGTTGACTCCATGAGCTCTGCATCCGCTAGCCGAGATGTGTGGATATTTCTCCTCGATGATCCTCCACGCTGATTTCATTACAGGAGCGTTGTCGCTTATGAAACTGGTAAATTTTTGTGAGCCAATCTTCTCAATAACTTTTAAGATTGCTGCAGCAACTGCAGATGAATTTTGAATGATTCCGGATGTATTTATCGAGGTGTAAAAAAAAGCCTTTTGCTCGGGCGCTTTAATACAAAAATTCACTATGTGATCGCCTCTTATGTTCGTCCAGCCGTCAGACATCAGTGTTAAGTTTGTTTCAGAATTCAAAATTTTATTTACATAAATAGAACATTTTGTGTATTGTTTGTCGAGCAGAGATCCTGATAAGGCTTTAGCTTTCAGGGTCTGCAGACAAGTATGGGCATCAGATATGAAGTTTTATATCAAAGATTTGTTGGGAGCAATTAATCCCACCAAATTTTGCAACCTTACTTTGGAATCCGAAGTTACTGTCATTACTGTCAAACAAAAATATCACTGAATAATAGCTCACTATTTTTGTTTGAAATGTTAGAAAGTTACTTGGAGTTCTTACTAATTCAGAACAGAAAAAAAGTTTAGAGATATAGTTGCCCATCTGACAATAAGATTGCTCTCATCATAGCAGTGTACTGGGTTTGTTGTATTTGATACAATAGCATCAAATACAAGTCATGTAACTGCAGCATGTGTGACATTCCAAAAACAGCTTGGATGAGCTTTCCTTCGGCCTGTTATCACCATGTTGAAGATTATTTTGTTGTGTATTTTTGATAGTCTGAGGCATCCAAATCTATAATCACATTGTTTACAAATTATGTTAGAAATTGCAAATTATGTTAGTGTTATCTAAAAGCACTGATAAACATCTATCTTGATCACCTTTAAGCAACCAGGAGCCTTACACAAAGCCAAATGAATGGCTAAACATGTATGTTTAATAAAGATATTGTTGTTCAAGCTGCAAATTCAACAACTACCATGTAACACTGTTGCATCAAGTTCCAAAGGTGGGAATTTTTGTGAACTTTGCAACACTGGTTTTACAACAGCTAGTGAATGGTATGCATATGCATTGTAGAATGATCTGCAGTTGTGCAAGTTTTTATTGTTTAAAAAAATTAAAGCGCATGTTTTTAGAAAAAAAGCGCAGAAGTGATATTATGAAAAGTGTCAAAAGACTTTTTTTAAATCATAAACATTCATCTATCAAATTAGAAACAAAAAAATAATTATTATGTACCTTAATAATAAAAATTTGTTTAAAACTTTAATTCACTAGTTTTAAAACTAGTATTTGTGAACGAAGTATGATACGGTGGTATCGAACACATGTTTGGAGGGTGGTTCCAAATAACTCAATCTGTTTACAAATTAAAAATTAACAACTTTTTTATATAAGTAATAATATATTTAATATAATACACAAGCCTATAATAGTAATACAATTAATTCCATTGAAAAAACCTTAGATTTGAAAAAAGTGTTTATTTTCATTAGTAAAAAACTAATGTCTATATTTCTAAATGATGACATTTTCATATATGCATCTTATATAATAAATCTTATATAATAGAGTCTAGTTTATCAGTTTTGAATTTTGGTAGGTTGAGGCAAAGAAGTTCATAGTAGGTTAAAATGGTTATAATAGTCAACCAGAAAATGTGTTTTGCTGCAAGAAGCGTTAACTAATTTTTTGTAGTAAAAATATAATAATTTGCCACAAGCTTTTTTTATATGCATAACTTTGATTTATAAATTTACAAAGTTATCAAAGTATGTTCATATAGTTACACTTACCACGAACATGGTTTCATGAACATGGTTTACCTCATATGCTTTTTTCAATATTTTTAGTTACAAAGACAATATAAAATTATGTTTCTATGTCAGTCTATAATGTGTTTACATTGCATAAGTTTTCATACAAAAAACTATTGAATTCTTAAGATATTTTACAAATATCTAACATAATACTTTGAGATATTACAGATAACATGTTTTTACAAAAAAAAAGTATAAACAGATAATGTAACTTTTTTAAAAAAACTCTGTTTTTTTCATTAAAAAATTTTGTTTTTAGCTTTAACTTTAACTTTGACGTTTTTATTGAACATTATTATTATGTTATTTGACATTTTTATTAAACATTATTATTATATTATTTGACATTTTTATTGAAAATTATTATTATGTTATTAAAGACTACAACTGCTCTTATGTTTTTGTCAACATATTGTATATTTCTTTTAAACATGGATACTGTTTCCTGGCAAAAAAGTTTTCCTAAATAAGTTCAACTTGGTTTGGATTTTTGAATTCGATTGGCTATTCTTTAGTCTCTCTTTTTTTTTTACTATTTATATATATATATATTTTTTCAATTTAGATAAGTGTTCAAGGATTGTTGTTAATAAATTAACCATAATTGTTTAACTAAAAAAAATTGTATACATTATATATAGTATATATACACTATTTAGCAGAGCCACATTCATGTTTCATGACTGGAATAACGCAGTTTGGGATTATCTTTTTGTGTTGAACATACAAGCTTCTTGTGCTAATAAAAATTAAAAATTAGGACATATTCACAGCACCTTTTTAAAATCAACTCAAAAAATCTGTTAAAAACTCAAAAACTTTGCTAATAATAAATAATAAAAATAATAAGAATAATAAAAAAAGAAAAGAAAAGTTTTTCGTAAGAAAACTGATTGGATGAAAGTAAGAAGGATCAGAATAATTTTTTTAAAAAAGGAGTCATAAATGCTATTTTATAGCATGCTGGAAAATAAGATTTAGTTAAGTACTTGTTAAATGGTTTAGAGAAAATTTGAGAGTATTGAAAGTATGGCGCTAAACTTGTTTCTTCACATAGCCGCTTTATCTAACAAGGTTGGTGTTTCAGAGTTTAGCATTGAGAGAGAATTTCATATAAAATTAAAATAAAAAATATAAAAGCTAAAAAAGAGTGGCCTCCTTAACTGTAGTGGACACTCTGAAGCTTGAAAATAACTTATTTGAATAGATTATTTGATTTTAGGGCAGCATGTTCAATACATTCAGTAATGAAAATTAGATAAATCAAGAAAGGTTTCTAATCAATGTATCTTTGATTAGGTTCACAAAATTTTTATTTTATACCATTTACTTTTTAAACTAACTGTTCAACTGTTTGTGATACATACATACATACATTGTTTTGTTTTGCTAATTTACCTCCTCAAGGCCAAGAAGGTACACACTACAGGCAAGGAGACTACTTATTTGTGGTTATAACCCTCTCTTAACTCTATAACTTCAAAGCACGAACCTTGAGGAACAAGGCCACTGTGTGGAGAAATGAGTTGATACATACATACATACATACATATATCAACCCTGGGAATTAACTGCCGATCTAAAAGCGGAACTAGCTGCTGACCTAAAAGTGCCTGAGGTCTGCAACAAAGATAATTTAAGGTAGGCAATAAATTGCTGACCTTATTTTTATTGGGTATATGCATGCACACACAAACACACACATATGTAATGAGTATTGGTGCTTTTTTTTTATCAAATTTATATGCTGAAAGTTTATGTGTAATTTAAAAAATATTAAATTATTTTAATGCTTGAATAATATATGGGAAATGATGTAAAAATACTTTTATAAATGTAGACAGTATGTCTTTAAAAAAACATGACATTTTATATCTAATGTTATGACTAGGTGTCAAGTTTTAAAGGATATTGTTAGAATTTTCTACTGTAAACTTTGATGTCGTAAATTATTTCCAGGTTATGTGACAGACATTGTTGAAGATGCTAGAGTTTATTCGCTTCATGCAAGTCGCAAAACTATAAACTTAGAAGATATTAAGTTAGCTGTCTCACAGAAGCTTGATCACTCTTTTACATCTCCACCGCCCAGAGAGGTTTAATTAATTAAATTTGATAAGAATCCTGCTGGATTATAACTTTTTGAATTTTTTTCTATAAAATACTTTTCAGTATCAAAAATAGATGAACTTTTGCCTAAAAACAATGAAATAAGTTTTAATTTTTCTCAATTAAAAAAAAAATTGTAAACATTTAATTTATATATCGAATAATTATAAATCAATGATTTTTATATTATATATTAGCATGATATGCTAATTTAATAGTAGTTAATAGTCTACTTATGTCATTTTCTAGACTTTTCTATTTTAAAGTAGTTTCTAGGCTTTTCTATATGCAGTTTTTTTTTTAATTTTATTTACTAACAACCCGTATTACGGGTTGCTTACTGCTAGTATTAGCATCATTACATGCTTATATATACTTAAAAAAAAGTGATACTGTTGTGCAAAAGAAAAATCTGAGCCAAATGTTTATTTTGATTTCAGCACACAGAAAATAAAAGTATGTGTATTGATTCTTTTATGTTATTGAGCAATAACAATTTCTTGGGGCCTAAATTAGAAGCAGAAAAGAAAATTTCAAAATTTTCTATAGATTAAGTATAAATTTACTATTAAAAAAAAGTGCGTTAGATTTTTTGTTTTAGGTCAAGTAATAAAAAATAAAGCTTGACAAGCTGTTAAAGATTTACAATGAATCAGTTTGTAAAGAGAGGAAAATATGATACTCTAAATGAACTTTTTGATATAACTAAAGTTATTGGTCAGTGATCCACTAATGATACTTTACCACATTCAAGTAAAAAGTGGGGTACTTGATAGGTTGGTTGCAAGTAAGGAAACCCTGTTATATTTTAACTCCAAGTTAAGCAGCAATTTACAAGTTAACATTCAAAAGACTGCTAATTTAAAGCTGAAATAAAAGTTACACATGGCCATTTTGATGTAAATTGTGCATTTTACTATTGAACATGAGTGTTTAGGTTCTTTGAAAAAATTGACTTTTCATTTGAATTTCAGGAAATTCCTACCATCAGTAATATAAAGTGGAATTCAAGAGCCATTCTAGTCACTATTGCATTCATTACACACCTACAACAAAAATGAGTTAAAGGAAGACATGCATTTTGGAATGACTAAGCAGACTGTTAGATTACCAATAGTTCAATCAAAGTGACTTCAAGAGCTTGTCCAACCATGCAAAAAAACATTGCCTTTATTGAAGAATCACTAGAAATAGGAAACATCTATAATTGAAACAAAAACAATTAGTACGCTGAATGTGCAATCAAACTTTAAACTGTTATTTTAGCTTTTTCTAAGAAGATATTGAAATGTTTTTGTTTTTTTCTCAAGGCAAAAGTTCATCAAAGTAAGGTGCATTAGGTTGTTAGGTTTTTTATATTATCTGATAGGTGAGAATAAGGGAATTATTCTCGGCCATCATTCACAAAAAATTTACACAAAACATTACATACAATCAGCATGTTAAAAAATTTTAATTATTAAAATGCTTGATTAATTGGCAAATACTTGGTCTCTCAGATTGAGTTTGATTATATAATTTTGTGCTTTAAAATATCTTTTTAAATGTATCTATCTTTTGTTTTTTAATTTTTAACTTTAACCCCCTAAAATATTAAAGTTTTGTTTGTACTCCTATTTGATTGTTGTGTGATCCCTTGTTTGATAAAAGCTACTTAGTAGTATTTATTTAAAAAGTTTTTACAAATAAATATTTTGTGTACAGTTATCAAAGTATATGTTTTGTGTAATAATTTTTTTTTTTTTTTTCAGTTGTGTTTTAATGTGTTTAATGAAACGCAATGCATATAAATAACTCGTTTTTATATATTTGTTTTTAATTATATTTTATTTCTTTTAAAGTTTCTTTTGGAGATTGCCAGAACGAAAAATTCACAACCTTTACCTTTGATATCTGATAGAAGTGGACTTCGACTACCCCCTGAACGTTATTGCTTAACTTCGAGCAACTACAGGGTCAAAACAGTAAAGAAGGTACTTTTTTCAAAATAATTATTTTAAATACAAATATTCAAGAAATCCAATGCATTATTTATTACCTATAGTTTTCCAATACATTAACTAAAGTTTTTATTGGGAGGATTAAGAAAAAGATGTAAGATGTAATATTATTATTATTTTTATTATTATTGTATTATTGATATTATCAGTTTATTATCGATGTTTTATCAAATAAAAATATTCTAAGACTTTTAGTAAATTTTGAAAATACTTATTTTTTTTAGATAATTTTTTAAATGTATTTTTAGGCACCCCTCGTTTTTTTTTAGATAATTTTTAAAATGTATTTTTAGGCACCCCCTCGTTTAAAAACAACAAATGTAGCAAGTAAGATTTTTTTCTAATAGTTTTTTTTACATTTAATATTAATCTTGTGTGTGTTATTTGTTTTTTATTGCTTTTTCTTTTAATCAGCCAAAGGTACAATGAAGATATCTTCCCTGTCAAGCAGCCTAAACTCTCAACATTTGGCTTACCCACAACAAGGGCTAAATTCTCAGGTTTTTAAATTAACAATTGTTTTTTTATTTATTGTATACTAAGCATAAATATATACACAATAGTTTTAAAAAATAAACAAAAAACTTAATTTTTGCGATATTTTAGCCTCATGTTTTTTATAAAGATCAAGACTTTTTTATAAAGATATATTCCTGATTTTTGCAATATTTTAAAAAGATTTTAGTCAAAAAATAATTTGAAATTAAAAATGTTCCAAAAAATGAAAATCAGGTACAGGAAGTTCTAGAAAGATTTCACAAGATTTTGTGAAATCTTTCTAGAAGAAGAAGTGTCGACACTTATTTGAGTAGCAAACATTGAGGTTTTTATGGAGGATAAGTTAATTTTTAATGCTTTATAAAAAATAACACACTGTATGTAACCAAAGGTTTTTTTTTTTAAACATTCAGGTAAAACCATATCTTATATAATTATCTAAATTTATAACTCAGACAGAGCAACACCAGCAAAGTTCAACTTTTGTTTTTATTTCAATTAAATTTCCTATGGCTTTCAATTTTGCCCAAATCAATGACTAAAATTTAATTAATTTTTCAGATTGTGACAAACTCTTCATTATTATATAAACTTTTTAGGCGAATTTTTAAAGTGTTTATTAGTTTTTTATTCTGCAGGTTTAAAAATGGTTAAGTACTTCTAGACTTTATCAAGAAAAAAATGGAAAGTCATGGAATCTTTAATTTGAACTTTATTTCAAAAAAGATGAATTCCAGACTTTGAAAGTCGTGTATTTTCTATGAAGTATTTAAATTTTTTTCATAAAAAGTTTTGAAGCTTTAGAGTTTAAATAAAATTAGAGAATCATTAACTCTAAATCCAATTCATTATTTAGGATTTTTCATCCATAAATAGAATATTGTTTAAAAAGTAATTATCATAATGAATTTATAATATATTGTCGGTATACAAGGGAAAAGCACTAAGTCTATTTTCGGCAGTATGAAGTTATTTATACCACTATTTAGTATTTTAAATTCTCTATCATTTGGTATACCACACAAATTTAATAATATAAATATTTTATGCTCAACTGACACTGATAAAATATAAAATATTTTTAGTGTTAGTTTTAATTTATACTTCATCTTTAGTTTTTTACTTTGTTTCTAGTGTTGATTGTGCAGTTTAAATTTATACTTCATCTTTAGTTTTCTACTTTGTTTCTAGTGTTGATTGTGCAGTTTAAATTTTTACTTCATCTTTAGTTTTTTACTTTGTTTCTAGTGTTGATTGTGCAGTTTAAATTTTTACTTCATCTTTAGTTTTTTACTTTGTTTCTAGTGTTGATTGTGCAGTTTAAATTTATACTTCATCTTTAGTTTTTTACTTTGTTTCTAGTGTTGATTGTGCAGTTTAAATTTTTACTTCATCTTTAGTTTTTTACTTTGTTTTTAGTGTTGATTGTGCAGTTAATTTTTTTTTTTTTTTTTCAGTCATAAAACTTCTTTTTTTCAGTTGTGCATTTCTAAACTAAAAAGGTTTTTTTAAAATGTATTTTTAAATTTAAAAGTTAATTTAGAAGTTTCTGTTTACATTTAAATTTTTAGTTGGATTACAAAGATTTTTTTGCTATATCCTTTATTTTAGAAAGACAGGTGTCCACTAGGAATAGGTACCATTGTATATATAATACTATATATACATAATAATATATATACAGCAACTTTTGGTATTAAGCGGGAGTAGAAAGTTGATAAGAAAATAAGAGTCAACGCAAAAATAAAAAAGTCTAAAGTTAACTAGTAGCTATCTTATTTGAAAAATAAGTTTGAAAAAAGCAACATAAATAAACCATCTTAAAAACGCCATTTTTTGTAGAAAGGAATGTGTCATTAAAAATAAGTAAAGATAAACTAAACTAAAACTTTCCAGCAATTAATTTATTTTTCTGCATTAAGTTAAAATTTAAGCTAAAAAGATGTTTGTTTTTCCCAACTTAAAAACAAAAATAATTGATATTTTTTGTTTGTTAACTGTCTAACTCAAATAAATTGCAACATTTAAAACCATGTTTTTGTATAAATGTTTTACTTACATAAGTTAATCTAATTATACAGTTTTTATGTAAAACTACCCATTTTTACTGGACCTAAAACATGTCTAAAATATTACAAAAATTATAAAATAAATTATTTACATTTCATTGTATATAAAAATGCGCAGGAAAATATATGATACACAAACACTCGTTCTTAAAATTTATTAATTATAACTCTAGTTGTTTCATAATAGTGAGTACAGACAACTGTAAACTTTTTAAAAATATTTGAATAGGGATTAAAGGCATTTCATAACTTTTAAAGTTATGCTTTAGAAATTTGTTTTTAATAATCCAAAATAAAAACTTAAACTCTATAAAAATAGAAAACTTTGTTTTAATGCTTTTAAGATATTATTTATATTATACTGTGTGCTGTAAACTTTTTCAAAATTACTTTTTGTTTTTACATATTTACTGTTTTTATTGTTTTTATTGTTTTATTTTTACTGTTTTTACTGTTTTTACTGTTTTTATTGTTTTTATTGTTATTTAGAATGATGGTGTACAACAAAGTAACCAAGGAAACACTAGCATCACTTTCCCTACTACTTTAAAACGTAAACATGAAGATGAGGAAGATTACGATATTTAAAGCAGTCAGGTTTTTTTGCATGGATTAAAAGGATTTCTTCTTCTCTAAGTTAGCTTCTAAGCTAGAATATATAAACGATTTATTTTTCAAGCTTTTAAGCTTATGAATTGCATCGAAAATCAGTAAAAACAATATTTTAAACATTTCAGATTTATTTCTACATGAAATAAATAAAACATTGACATTTGTATTTGCTTGCTATTTATTTATTATATTTACTTTTGAATGGTGTATAAAATAATGATTTACTATATGAAATGGTAATTTACTCTGGTGGTTGAAACAACGATTTACTAAAATAATATACTTATATTCATAATGATTTATAAAATAATTATCCAAAATAATGAATCCAAAAAATAAACATAATCAAGTCATCAAAATATGTTTTTTAAAGATTTCGACTTGATCAGATTAGATTTTAAGCTGTGGATAGAGGTTATTGAAAGGTTAATGAAGACTTGTTCTTCCTGGAGATCTTCCTGGAGAATCAGAGTAAAGTGAGATAAATGATGATTCTAAGGAAAGACAAGGATTAGGTGGACAAAGTTAATAGAATGTTTTTTTGTTTGCAGAACATTCATTTTACTGTTCATTTTGCAGAACATTCATTTTACATTCATTTTGCAGAACATACTTTTATTCATTTTACTGTTTTTTTTATCATACTGATTTTGTTTAGGTTGAAAAAAAACTTTCATTAATAAATTGAAAAACAGAAAAAAAAAGAGAAGGAAAGATAGAAGTTAGAAGGAGCAAGAGAGATAGAAGTCAAGAGATAATATACCTGTTACAGAAAAAGCTGAAGTTATTTTAGAAATTAAAATTTTTAGATTTTCATGAGGAATGAAATAGTAGATAAGTTGAAAAGAAAGAATGTTGCAATTGTTGCATATTGAACTAGTAAAGCAAATTTATATGCAAAAAGCATCTCTGTTACATTTTATAGACTGTCATTAAGTGTTTTCACTTCAGATGCTCCGAATTCAGAAGACATTCTGCTAGTTGTTCACATAATCTCAAACTCAAAAAAACTCAGAGAGAAGTCCAGTTCTTTAACATTCTTTAATACTATGATTCACTTTTTAATACAAGATGATACATTATTTATTACTATGACAGTAAATTTAGATATAACTAGTCGCAATACTGGTAAATACCATGAAACAATACCATTATTATCCCTTACCATTATTACCATTATTATCCCTTACCATTATCATCTCCAACATACTTTTGATACTCCCAAGGCATGATGTATGAAGTCCACATTTCTTAAAAGTTCTATTTAGAGGTACTAAGGGGCAATAAAAATCACTTTTAAAAAGATCTTGCCAGAGGTCTTTTAGAGAAGAATTACAAGCTAGAGAATGTGGTCCCCTCTGGTCCCCTCTGAGCACTTTAAGTTCTGGTTGAATATTTTAACCAAATACACTCTAGCCTACTTGTTTTATAGACTTTATAATGAAACCTTTATTAAAGATTTTTACCACAAGTTAGTCAAGCTAAGTGTGTTCTCCTCTAGATTTAACTTAACTTTAAATTCCTGCAACCTGGAGTGATGCACTAGGCAAGATTTATGGCAGATACAGGGCTTATAATAAAAGGGGCAGCCCTTAAAACATTTAAACAGATTGTTTAAGACTTCTGGAGAAATAAAACAACACTCTAACAAGAGTTTAAAATTATTGCTGTCTAAAGAGTTTAGCTCCTAACCAGAGTATAAGATTGTGGTTGTCTGAAGGGTTTAGCTCCTAACCAGAGTATAAGATTGTGGTTGTCTGAAGGGTTTGGGGGGGGGGGGGGAACTTAATAATTGTTTACTTTATTTTATAAAAAGTATTTTTAAAGTTTTTTCATTAAAAATAAAAACTTTTTTAAACATTAAAGTTTGCATTATTTTTGTTTCAATTCAATAAACTCTAATTTAAAATATCAACTTAAATAAATTGTCATGCTTTAGGGAGAGGGGGTTTGTGGTTTTGTGATGACTTATACAGAACTTGTTACTAAAGAGTTACCATGATGTAATGAGGAGGGAAGGGGTCTCAAATGGTTAAAAATGTAACAAAATTTGTTGACAACTGCTTATGTCACCAATTTGAACACAGATTTCTGTTTTACGGTGATTACAGTTAATTTATAGAACTGAATATTTACTATTTTCACAAGATATTGCCAAAATATTAATAAAAAAGTATATCTATATTTTTATAGTTAAAATAGATAATAATAAAAGTGTAAATAAAAGATAACAGTAATAATAAAAAGTAACAATAAGCAATGTTGAATATAATATTTATATTAAATAAATGACTATGTAACCAATGTTTAATAAATATTCAGCATTCAGCTTTGTTTAAATTTGATTGGCAAAATTAAACAAAGATTTCCAGTGCCTAATACATGTATGTATGAATGTATGTATGTATGTATGTATGTATGTATGTATGTATGTATGTATGTATGTATGTATGTATGTATGTATGTATGTATGTATGTATGTATGTATGTATGTCTAGTATATATTATGTATACATATATACATATATATATGCACTTGATAATGATTATGTTGATAATGATGATGATGACAGCCCTTGGAATTAAGGTCAGCATTCTGCAATGCTGACCTAACTGACAACCTAAAAGTGTTTGAAGTTTGCAAAAATTTGCCGACCTAGTTGTTTTGTTTTTTGGTAGGACCTTTATATCAAATTTTTTTTGCTGACTTGATGCTGACCTCTAAAACATTGAGGCAATTATTGCTGACCTTATTTTTCCTAATTCTGAAGGTTGTGATGATGATGATGATGATGATGATGATGATGATGATGATGATGATGATGATGACAATGATGATGATGACAATGATGATGATGATGATGATGATGATGATGATGATGATGATGATGATGATGATGATGATGATGATGATGATGATGATGACAATGATGATGATGATGATGATGATGATGATGATGATGATGATGATGATGATGATGATGATGATGATGATGATGATGATGATGATGATGATATTATTGTTGTTGAAGTACACATTTTATTGCAAAATAATAAATATGGGAGCAGAAGTTGTTGATCTTAACTGTTCCAAAGCTAAATATACACATGTCATTTTTGATATGGATGGGCTACTATTAGGTAATTATTTAAAGTCCAATAATTTTTATATTTGATAATAAATCATATTTATTTTATTACATAATAGTATTTTTATTTTTTGATAGATACAGAACGGATATATACAGATATAATGAGTCAAGTCGCATCAAAGTATGGAAAAACTTTTACTTGGGATATTAAGGTTCAATTAATGGGGCAACCTGGTAAAACATCTTCTCAAAAAGCTGTTGAGCTTATGGAACTACCCATAGATGCAGATCAATTTTCAGCAGAACTTCAAGTATTAAAAAATGAGTTGTTCAAAACTACCAATTTATTACCAGGTAAATATAGTATATGTGTAAACTTTTATTTTACACATATGTTATATTTTAAATATTTTTTTATTTTATATGTTCTTATGTATTATATATCCTATATGTATATGTCTATATGTGTATATATGCCTACACATCTTATATTTTATATATCATATAATATATGATATAGAACAGTATATAGAATATATGATATATAACACATACGAAATATAGAAACATTATATGTTTCTATATTTCGTATGTGTTATATATCATAATTCTATATACTGTTCTACCTTTTAAATATATTTATATTCAAATATTTAATTTTTCTAATGTAATTACTTTGTTTAATTTTTTTTTAAGTATTTTCCTTTATCTAAGTTGTTAGTTTTATTGTTTTAAGGAGTTGAAAAGTTGGTTTATCATCTTGTAAAACATCATATTCCTATTGCAGTTGCATCTGGTTCCAATTCTAAAGACTTTATAACAAAAACAAGTAAACATGCAGAATTTTTTAAGTTGTTTCCAATTATTATTCTTGGTGATAATGCAGAAGTGAAACAAGGAAAACCATTTCCTGATCAGTTTCTTGTTACTCTTTCAAAGTTTTCAGATGCTCCACCAGCAGAGAAATGTCTTGTATTTGAAGATTCTCCCAATGGTGTTGTTGCAGCAAAAGCTGCAGGAATGGGTGTTGTGATGGTTCCAGATGAACGGCTAAATGTAGAATTTCAACATAATCCAACTTTAGTGCTAAAATCTTTGGAAGATTTTAAACCAGAAGATTTTGGATTTCCTCCATTTGATGAATAATGTTTTAATATTATTTTTAATAACCAAATTTTTTTAAAAACAATGCATTTTCTTTTGATTTTATCATAATTTTAGGAGCTTTATAAATTTGTAACGTTAAATAATTTTGATAAACTAAAATAATAAAATAAATATCAGATAGTGAAGAAAAAAAAAAAGTTACAATAAAAGGTAAAATAATATACATATATATATGTATATACATCGCAATTGACAGTTTTAAGACCTTTGCTTTAGGAATATATATATATATATATATATATATATATATATATATATATATATATATATATTTATATATATATATATATATATATACATATATATATACACACTTACTAAAACGTGTTTTGATAAGCATTTGCTCACTTTTTCTGCTTACCTTAAGCTATACCATTTTTTTCAAAAAAGAAGAAGAAAAAACGAAGAATGATGAATGAAATGATTGCTTCCCCATCCCAAACCCTCAGTCGATGTAGCAGCACTCCAATGCGAGTCAGGCTATTTGTCAGTCGATGTATGTACTGAAGTGTACATGTACATATGTATATATATATATATATGTAAATGTACATATATATATATATAAATTTTAAAAAAAATTAATTTAAAAGACCGAAAAAAAAAATTTTATTGATAGATTGCAAGCGTAAACTGAAACTCTCTGTTGATGTAGCAGCACTTCTTTCATGTTCTACCTATTTGTCAGTCAATGTAGCAGCATTATAGAAATGTATATACAAGTAATTTATTGCTTTCAATTTATGAAAGGGGATGGATTCATTATATAGCACACATTATAGCATATTTTATTTTTTTAAGCGTCTTTCGATATGCTTTAAAAAAAATAAGTTTTTTTACTATTGTAAGCAAATATATATACTTTTTAATTCCCAAAAAAATAAAAAGTAATCATATTAAAAATGGTACCTATATAACTACTTATATTAAAGATATAATAAGTAATCAAGTTGCAGCAGTAATTCAACATCACTTTGCTTTGAGTCTTTGTGAAATTGATTATTATTTTACATATTATTATTGTTCAAGTATTTTAATGCAAAGTAAGAAATATGGTGGCAGAAGTGGTTGACCATAACAATTCAAATGCTAAATATACACATGTTATTTTTGATATGGATGGGCTACTATTAGGTAGTTACATAAACTAAAGTCTAATTTTTATAAATAAAATTTATTGATATTAATATTTTATTAGATACTGAACAGATATATACAGACATGATGAGTCAAATTGCATCAAAATATGGGAAAGACCTTTACTTGGGATATTAAAGTTCAAATTATGGGGCTACCAGTCAAAATATGCTACCAAAAAGCTGTTGAGCTTATGGAACTACCCATAGATGCAGATCAATTTTTTGCAGAACTTCAAGTATTAAAGAATGAGTTGTTTAAAAATGCAGAAAAATTACCTGGTAGAAGTTCTATTCATTATAGATATTTTTAAATACTTATTATTATTTTACTAATTTAGTAATTTTTTATTTTATTTTTTTAATGATATTTTTAAATACTTATTATTTTACACAGGAAAAACCAAAAAAAAAAAGCAAAAAATTTTAGTTTTTGTCAAATGATTTAAATTAACCACTGTATTTTAAGGTACTGAAAAGTTGGTTCATCATTTCGTAAAACATTTCTATTGCAGTTGCATCTAGTTCTAATTCAAAAGACTTTATAACAAAAACAAGTAAACATGCAGAATTTTTTAAGTTGTTTCAGATTGTAACACTTGGAGACAATCCAGAAATAAAGCAGGGAAAACCTTTTCCTGATATATTTCTTGTTACTTTTTCAAAGTTTTCAGATGCCACCAGAAGAGAAATGTCTTGTATTTGAAGATTCTCCAAATGGGGTTCTTGCAGCGCAAAGGCGGCAGGAATGGGTGTTGTGATGGTTCCAGATGAACGACTAAATAAAGAATTTCAACATAATCCAACTTTAGTGCTAAAATCTTTAGAAGATTTCAAACCAGAAGATTTTGGGTTTCCTCCATTTGATGAATAATATTTTAATATTATTTTTAATAACCAAATTTTTTTAAACCAGAAGATTTTGGATTTCTTCCATTTGATGAATAATACTCACATTTTTAAAACATTTATAATTTGCTTTAAAATGTATTATTCAATATAATATATTCTTTCAAACTGTATTTATAAATTTTTTTTTATTTTATCTTTGGAACTTTAAAGTGATAAAGAAATTATAATGAACAATATTAACTATTATTATTTATAAAACTCAAGAAAATTGTATGACATTTATATAGAAAATTAAAAAATATTAAGTTTTAATTTAATAGATAACAACTGTCTTGCTAAAGAATATTATTATATATTAATTTTACATTAATAGCATTATAAATTAAACAGTATTATAAATTCAATTGAACTAGTAGAGAAGGTATTACAACTTTTTATATAAAGTAAGTGAGGCAGTATTACAACTTTTTATATAGAGTATATATAGAGTCAGGCAGTATTATTTTGTAATAAATTATTTTATTCTTAGTTTTTCATTGTAGAAGTATGAGCTGAGAAATTAATGAATAGCATAATATGAATTTGAATGAATTATGTCAGTATTTAAATGCGTGGGACAATTCTTCTACTAAATCAAGACTTACAATACTAAAAACATTCATTGATGAGTATAAAGGAAAAACTTCATCTGAGCTTGAAGTTGCTTTTGCTAATGTTCCTAAATTGTTTTTTACTAGATTGTTGTCGTGGTGGAAAGTTTCGTATCTTTTTATAAATATTAAATTTTTTTAATTTTTAAATATTTTTAAAACTTTACAAAATAAAAACAATAACTTTGTTTTATATGCAACATTTATTTTGATGCTGTTTTTTTAAAACACTTTTTGACTGATTTTGATGATAATAATGATCTTTTAACATTTTGGTTCTGATTTTGTCTTGTAAACACGTGAATTTTTGTTTCAAAACTTGATGGCTGGACTTCTTATAAACTTTTTATCTGTTTTCTTTGAATGTTTCTCTTTAATACTTTTATAAAGTTCTTTTACTTTAATGCATTTTTCTAAGCGCATTTTAGTTGTATACAATTTTTTCTTAACTTTTTTTTTTCTTAACAGTTACCTTACATGCAGTTCACCATGTGTTCAACTTAAAGCAATCAGGGTTTTTGTTTGTGCGTATGGAGGGTAAATTAGAGTATATTTTATTTTGTTTAAAAGATTTTATGTAAATGAAAAAAATGTTAAAACATTTAGTTATCAAAAGTTTATTTTTGATTTGAAAGATTCATTTAGTTGTTTTAGATTAGTTTTTTGCTTCTTTTAGATTAGTTTTTATTTAAACTGATGTTTGTCTCCATACAAATGATTATTTAGGAATATATTCTTAGTCGATTTTATTGATATTGGAGGGATAAATATGCTGCTCGAAATTCTATTACTTAATAATGAGGTGAAGCTTAATGAATGTCAGCATCCTTTAGAAAAGTTTTGAAATCCTCTTTTTTTTTATCTTTTACTTGTTATATTTTTAAATATTTTCAATTAGTTATATTTTTATATATTTGTATATATTTTAATTAAATTCAGTGGGTATTTATTTATTTTTAATGTTAAATAAATAAAATTTGGTAATAAAAATTTTAATTAATTGATTATAATTTATTATTACTAATAGACTATATTTATTTTATTTTTACATCCAACCTGTGCATCATTGAAACAAATATATTAAAATGATGAATTTCTAAATAATATGGGAATAACAAAATAAAATTTGATTTTGTTGTTGTTGTTACAGGAAAAGAAAATTGAATCTTTAAATCTATTGATGGTTATTGCTAATAATGGACTAAAATACAAAGAAATTATATGCAAAAATCATGGTAAGATCATTGTTGAAAATTTAATGCAGGTAAATTGTTTTATTCAAAAAAATAAAATATAGATTTTTAGAGGAATTTAGATGACATCTACAGATTAAAATGTACTATCATCTACAGATTAAAATGTACTATCATCAACTGATTAAAATGTACTTATTGAGTATGTATAAGACTTATAAAATATTTTTAATATTTAGAAAAATATTAAAATTTTGACATATTCATTGTCAACAAATGTTCAGGAAATAATTACACTAAACAGTAAAGTTTTTATCAACATCTAAATTAACAATGCAAGGAAAAAATTTCTTTTTAATTTTAATCAAATCTTATTCATTGATTTAATGATTTCTGCAATAAAGATTTTATAAATATAAATTTAAGAATAAATTAAGTAAAATTAAATTTATAGCATAAACTATTATCTACAGAATAAGAACTTGTAATTGTAATTGAGCATTTATTTATTTTTTTTACTATTTAGTTTATTATATTTAATTAGTTTAATCCTAAATCTTTTTCCTAAATCCTAAATCATTTAATCCTAAATCATCTTAAATATAAAATTTGGATTAGAACTTTGTATTAAATAATAAGTGAAAATCTTTATTTTTAAAACTAGGTCTTCAAATTTTAGCTGGGTGTTTACAAGCATCAATAAACCAAAACTGTCAAGTAGGATGCCATGCTTTGCTCCAAGATTTAGCAACAGTAAGTTTTATCCATTCTAGAATATATATAATGTTAGCAAATGTTTATACATAATTATATATAACATGTTTATGTTTGTTCAAAATGTACAAAAAGAAATCTGCTCGGTAAATAAATATTGTAGAGCGACAAACATAATTTACAAATGCATAACATCTTCCCCAAACACACCCAGCAAAGCATACATTGGTTTATCAAAGGGTGTGTGGAAAAAGAGATGCAAACCGCAAGCAATCATTTAAAAATAAAAAACTTAAGAAATGAACCACACTCTCAAAATATATATGGAAACTAAAGAAAAACTCAAAGAAACGCCTAAATTAACTTGGTCTATCCTAAAAGGAGCCCCTGCTTACAATAACACAACAACAAAGTTGTTTAGTTTGTTTATATGAAAAAATAATAATTTTACTTCATAAAAATGCTGAAGAGCTTTTTAATAAAAAAACTTCTTGATTTCCAAATGTCGTCACGAAAAGAGTTGATTTCCAAGTGTCGTCACGAAAATAAATTTCTATTAAGCAACCACAAACCTGGGTGCTTATTCACAACTTTTCCGTAACTCTTGCATAGCTGAACAAAAGTTATGAAAAACTTACAAAAATTATTTTTTGAATAACTATTTGGTATTCACAACTTTTTCGCAGCATTTGCGTAAAGTTAAGGTTGCGCATGAGTTACGCAAAACTTAGGCAAAAACTTACGCGGCAATATTTTATAACAATTTGTATAAAGGAAGTAGTTGGTATTTATAAACCCTTTTTTATTAAGACATACAGAGCAAAGTGAACAAACAGTTAATGCATCTTTTTTTAGAGGCAGGGCTTACATTTATTAAGACTTTAATTATTTTTTTTTGTTGTTGCATTATTAAATTTTATGCATTATTAAACTTTATTTTTTTTTGTTGTTGCATTATTAAACTTTAAGCTAAAAAGTAACATATTCAAAGATATATTTGTTTAAAAATGTTACATCACGAAGAGGGCGAGGAGGGATTGTTTAAAATGTCACATACACAAAGAAAGGGGGAGGGGGGAGTTGAGTCTAAAAACTGCAAAAAAAGTCTCATAGTATTTGAATAGCCCCATATAGCATATCTAAGCAGTTACTTTTAAAAGTAATAACATATATACCATAAACAGTCTTTCAATCTATTTTGAATATCTATTAGAAAAATAATCAATAATCAAAAATTAGAAAAATTTACCAAATAAGAGTCGGTTGGTTTTTTAAATGAGATATTAATTATTAACAAAATGCTTCACATCTATTATTGTAAATATAAACAAGCACTCAATAAAAACTAGTTGGGGCATATTTACCCAAACCCAAATGGGTAATATAAATTGTATTATCCTGAGCTTATATAAGATAACTATTTGGCTTCCTATATGATGCCATCAGTGAATGCCCATTGGTTTTATTTAATCATTCAAATAACTGTATACTACAGTTATTTTAATACTATAATTTTTGATTTGTTTGTTTAATTATTTGAATAGTTAAAAAATCAATTATTTTTAGCCTCTGCTTTTTCCTTATTCTTTCTTAGCAGTGATGAACCTAGAGTTTATTTTTGAGACACCCTTTTGATGTGGCGAGTTATAAAAACCCTAACCTGCCGCAAACCTTTTTTTGTAAACATCACTGGCATTTAAAAGAACTTTTTTTTTCTATTTTTAATATAAAAAGAAAAAGAAAAGCAACAAACAATTAATATTTTTAGGCATTTTTTTAGCACCCATACCGGTCCTATTGTACCAAAAAAAGGTCTGGGTTCGCCGCTGCTCAGATCATGCAACTTGTCTAGCATAGCTTCAAGAAGTTAAAACAAAGTACTTTAGTTTAGCATAAATTTCACATTCATAAAATAATGGAACTAAACTAAAGTATTTTGTTTTAACTTTTTGTTTTAACATTCTCACACACTAGGGTATAAGAAAACATCATAATAATTGTCAAATTTCTCTGGTCTTGCTTTAACACATAATTGACTTGAATCAACAACACTTTTATTTTCTATATGGAGTAACAGTTTTTAAATAAAGAAATTGCTTCAATAAATTCAAGAAATACTATTGATTGCATTCTAGTTAATTTATAAACAAAAATAAACTAAAACTATTTATAAACAAAATTCAAATTATCAGAAATATAAGGAACATTTTGAAAACATAAACAAAAGTTCAACAACTTTTCCATAACATATTATGAAAAATTGCTGTGTGACTATCTAGTTGATATAAATCTACATTTGTAACTTCGATGCGTACAGTTTCAGTTGTATTAACATAATTAATAAAAGTTGAATTTGAATTAAAATCCACTTGTTTTTTATTAGTTTTTTTCAGTGATATTTCTGATTGAGAATTTATGATACCATTTTTGCACGAATAAAAACATTCTTTTTATTTGATATAAAAAGTTTGACTCATTGAGACAGAACAAGTATTGATTGAGACAGAGATTCATTCAATCAGAACAACAAGTATTGTAGTTTTCAAATCACCAAAAACATAGCATAACATAAACAACCAATCATCATACAACCAATCATCATCATAGCTACAACCAATGTGAACAATTTGCTTTCATCTCAAGAATTGTAATACTATTTTCAACAGCAACAGATAATAATTCTACTGATTTGTGAAAAGCATTCCATTTGTACTAACTGTTGTATCAAGGAATTTTTTATGGAATTCCTGCTCTTTGCAATCATAAAATACAACAATGAGATTTTATATAGAAATACAAAATAAAAGATCTACCAAAACAATTTAAACTATCATAGAATATGTTTATTATTTGAAAATAATAATATTATTTACCAAGAAATTAGGCTTTGAAAAACAAAGCTCTTTTTTTTAATAATTTAATTTATCCATAGATATTATTATATCTTGATAATTGAAATAACTAACAACAGAGCAATATTATTCCAAATAATCTTAATATTGTTAATACCTCTGGATAACTAAAGTTATCAAAAAACACAACATCATTATTCAAAGTAAGTTTAATATTTAGGTTATAATACTTTGTTTTATCAATAGCCTGATTAATCAGAGATAATTTTAACATTATTTTGTTTTGAAATAGCCTTGTTCTCACTTATAAATTAAAAAAAAAATTTTTTGTGAATATTGTATCTATATTGGCACACATATTTCCCCCTCTCGCACAGAGAGAGAGACTCTCTCTTGCTTTATACTAGTTATGCAAGTTAAAATATATGCTTCAATAATATTATTGTATATATTTTTTTATGGTATAGTATAGATAGTACAGTATAGATACAACCCTAAGTTAACATAGTCTAACTATATGATACATCATATAATTTTGAAGTATGACAATAACTAGTTATTAATTTAATAAGTTATTGGCATACTAAAAAACTATATGATATATCCGTACTATGGTCACTCTCCTTGTTTTAGCTAGGCTATGGGAGTGAACCATCCATTATATAACTCAAGAGTTGTTTTTGACTTTTCCAAATGCTCACTGAAGGGTATGAGAATGTTAGATATTTAAAGTTTTAATTATTTGCGTTTTTTATAATGATATATAATTTTTTTAATTTTTATAATGATATATAAGTTAGAATCCAACTAGCTGGCGAATAATTAATATTAGTTAACACCTATAAATTAAGACTTCTTAAAATGCTGCGTCTAGTCACTCAAAAGTTGCTCTAAACAGTAAAATTAGACGTCGTTTTAAATGTATTCCATGTTTAGTTAAGAAAAGAAGATTCTCTCAATAAATTATCTGATGAAGATTCCTTCATTAATCATTTTATCAGAAAAACTCAAGTAAAAAGATTCTTTTTGAATTAAACTTCTGATTTCAGTTTTCAAAAAAATTTTTTAAAAGTGAGATCCCTTAAAGTAAACTCTTTTAATGAACAAATTTTAAAATATTTAAAATAATAAGTTATTGTTATGATTATATTATTAACATAAATTTATTATTATATCAAATTATTATTTTAACTTTTATAAAAACAATTTTTTTTATATATTTTGTCAAAAATGACAAAGTATTTAAAAGTTTGAATTACACATATAAGTTTTGATAAAATTATAAAACTTGCATTATTTGAAAAAAATAAAACTAGTATAAAATTACTTATTGCATACTTAAAGGGACTACCAAGTCCCGAGACATGTTGTGTTCATATTAAAGAGAATGTTAAAAAAAAATGTCTGAGCAAATTTTTTTGATTAAAACTAATTATTAAATGTATACCAAGAAAAACAAGTCTTGTTATTTTAGTCAAAGCTCGTCTTCTCCATTTTCTGCGGTATTTTGAGTATGTAAAATAAATGCAATTTTCCAGGCGCATTATACAGACTTGATAATTTATTCAAGTGCGTTTAATTCAAAGAAATTTTAGTACATGATGTCATTGGAAACATTCTAGAAATTCTTTAAAAATTTTACTATTAAATTTTACTAAAATAGCTAACTATAGTTCGTTATTTTATTTTCTAAAATCTTCACATTGAAAAAAGCTTTGTGTTTTTTTGTAGCTATCAGAGCTGTGGCTACATGGGCCACAGCAATTGTGAACTTAGGGACCCCTATAATGCCAAATCAAGTTATATAATATCTCCGATGATTCACTTTTCAAGGAAAAGTGAATCATCGGAGATATTATATAACTTTTTCTTAATTTTCAAGGGAAAACTTAAGGAAAATAATTTTTTTTTTGAAATTTTGTACAATAATTTTTTTTTTCAAAAATATTTTGCTAATTCATATAATAATAAGTTTGCAAGATGTGGATGTTGTTGTGAAAGTTTTAGTCAAATATAAAGATTGTGTTTAAGTAAGAAAAACAATAATCTCGTTGATGAACTGGAAAGAATATAGAAAAGTCAGGGTAAACTCAGGGAACTTAAAAAGTTCAGGGGAAAATGTTCTTTACTCAGGGAAAAACTTTAAAATTTATAGCCACCCTGCTGTAATTAATTAGGTAATTAATTTAAAAACCTAAATCATGAGAATTAATGTAAAGTTATAGTTGGTTTAAACTCTTAAGTTATTGTTTATGATTATAACTTAAAAATTAAAAATTTTGAAACTTTTTTTATTTAAAAGGTTTATGAATAGGGACTTTTGATATTTTGATAGTAACAGTGTGTTTGAGTTTTTGAAATATATATTTTAGAATTTAACAAAGTATTTTGTAGCATTTTTAGTTCATTAAAAATGTTTAGAAAATATTTTCTATTTTTGTATTGAATTTAGGTGTGTATGACTATCATACACATAGCTTTTTTTTAGTTTTTATTTTGTGTTGATAGTTTTAAGGATTTTTCTGTATTCTGGTAAAATGCTTTCACTAGAAACCTAAGACCTAAATTATGTGTTATTATTTTTTATTTTAATTTATCAAAAGTAATATGTAATGGAGTTAAATTATTTGGTGTATGTCTACATTAGTTTTTAAATCATCAACTTCAATTATATTTTGGTCTCTCAAAATCAGTTTTGGTAGATCAAATTTGATTGGTAAGAACTACAAGTCAAACATTTATTATAACAGTTATTAAATGTATTCAAAAAATAGTTTAAATCTTAAGCTATATATATATATATATATATATATATATATATATATATATATATATATATATATATATATATATATATATATATATATATATATATATATATATATATATATATATATATATATATATGTATATATATATATATATATATATATATATATATATATATATATATACATATTTATATTTATATATATATACCGTTTATATTTATATATATATACCATTTGTTCAGACTTGTTCTAAATATGAGAAAAAAATCTTTAAAACAATGGTTTCTCTTCTGAAATCAACATCGACAGATGCACAGTTCTCCGCTGCTCAAATTATACAGAACATGCAAGTAAATCTTTTATTGTTGAATAAATTATACAAAACATGCAAGTAAATCTTTTATTGTTGAATAAATTATTCAAAACATGCAAGTAAATCTTTTATTGTTGAATAAATTTTGTATACTTCTATTAAACAATTGTATATAATTTTTCTCAATAGTTTTATAAATGTTATTAAAAGTAAAAGTAAATGGTATAAAGCATATTTAGCCTAGTCAAGTACAAAAGACTGTTATCAATCCATGTATTGCCTTGCTAGGATCAGTAAATTTGAAAGTTCAATATGAAACATGCAATCTTGTAAAGTTTTTAGTTTCCATTGAAAATATTCAAGACGACATTCTGTTCAGTATAATTTCAGTTTTAAAATCTGGGATTGAGACAACTGATGGATCAATAAATTGTAATTTATTTCTATAGTTATTATTTTTACAGTTATTAGTTTTAACATTAATTAACTTGATGGTCTTATTATTTTTTTTATTATTATTTAGTATTATTTTTATTATTATCTTTTTATTGTTGAGTGTCACATTTGAAACTTTGAATTTTTTCAAATTATTAAACCTCATTAAACAAATTCACTCAAAAAGAAAATAAGTTTGGCTATTAATGAAATAAACTTTCTCTCCACAGCTTTATGATTAACATCAACCCTTATAACAAGTTATAATTTTTATGTTTAGCATTGTTGTTTGTACAACTTACTGCTGCAGCAAAGATCATTGGGTAAGTTTTATTGATAGCTTTCAAATATTTATCTTAAATTGTGTTGTTGTTTTTTATCTTCTATAAGGTTGCAAGTCAAATGACACTTTTAGTAGCAGATGATGAAAATTAAACACCTCAACAAACATATATTTTAGGCCAAAAAAATATAAATTTTTTTCAAATATTAAATAATGTAATTTTTTTCCTTACTTTTGTTAATAATATTGAATTTATAAATTTATGAAAAATATCAAGAATCTGTATTTTTTTTTTTCAAAGTTTTTAAATGAACACAGTTTGTTCTCTAAACTTTATTGTTTAAAGTTTTATGTAAAAAAAATTTTGTGAACAATTTTACTTTTTCCTGTCTTACCCTTTCTTTATGACTCTCTTGAGAGTCATAAAGAGTGCCATTTGCCACTCTTTATGATTCTCTTATGACTCACTCTGTATGATACTCTTCAACCCATGCACTCTCCATAATTCACATATACTCTCCATAATCCACATATACTCTCCATAATTCACTACATTTTCTTTTCGTTTTTATATGTAGACACACAGAACTTTATATGTGTTTCACACGTTATTTTTAATTGATATAAATAAAGTTTTTATCTTAGTTAAAAACAACTTGTTTTATATTTAATTGGTTTATATCAAATTTTATTAACAATCTTTAATATTATTCATAATTTATATTATATTATTAGGTTATTTTTTTAAGAGATTTAATTTTAACTAAAAATGAGTAGATTTTAATTGTAACAAATATTGATTAAAATTATTATTGAGACTAATATTTGTCAAATATTGACAAATATTATTAAATTTTTTTTTTAACTGTTTTGTGTTACAGATTAAGAATTAAAAATGAAACAGACTTTCTTAAAGAAGATTTAACCTAATTGTTGTTTTGTATTGAACTTCATATATTGTTTAATAATTTAGTGTGATAGCAAAAGATACAAAAATAGCTGAGAAGCTTCTGGCGGTATTTAAAACTATATATTTTTTAGTTTTATTTTTTCATTTACTTAGCAATATAGTTAAAAGTTTCCTTTTTTTTTATTTTCTATTATTTAAATGTTTTAAAGTAAAAAAAGTTTAGAAAGGTGTATAACTAAATCAAAGATAGTCGAGTGTACCAATGACGATGACGCCATTTTTATCCGTCTGCCTATGTCACTATCCTCAGTTTACATATTAATGATGTAAATACAATATCTAATCATTTTTACAGTTTTTAATGTTGTTATTGTTAATAGTGTTGTTTTTACACTGTTTCTGTATGAGTAAGTTAATGAAGGGCAGCACCCTATTTTATTTTGTTTTGAAAAAATGTGTTTTAAACAAATGTATTCATGTATTGCTTACAAAACAAAACTATAGAAAAATTTAATATAAAAATTAAATAACTTAAATAAAAGATTTTTTTTTTATTATATATCTTTAATTTGCTCACATGTAATGAAAGTATTACATTAAAGTAAGGCATCTTAAAGTAAAATTAAATTAAACAGTTAAAAAGAGAATACAAATTGTTTTTTTAGTAACTGATTCCTTTAAAAAAGATTTAAAAAAAGGTTTATAGAAAACATTATTATAAAGCATTTTGCTTTTCTCCAGAATTTGATATTTTGTATAACACCAACTAACTTAGCCTTTTTCTTCTAATATAACAGACATCTGGTCTCTAAAACAATTAACAGAGTTGTAAGGTCTCTAATATAACAAACAAAGCTACCTGGTGTCTGATATAACCAACAGAGCTAAATGTTCTCTAATAAATCCAACTGTGCTATTGTTTTAATTTGTATTTATAGTTTATGGTTTTAGCTCGAACGAATATTAGCTATCTGGTCCAAGATATTAGAACTATATGTTCTTTAACAATTTAATAAATGCAAGATAGATAACCATTATAGCTATCTGTTCTTTAATAAAACCAACTGAGCTATATAGTCCTAAATAAAACCAAATGAGGTATATATAGCCCAAAATAACTAACTGAGCATTAGACTCCACTAATCTATAGATTTAATATAGTTGGCATACATTTTTAACACATTTTGCATTGCGTGTATTATTTTTTTATTATATAAAAGTATACAGTGTACAGTATACATTATTTCAGTACATTTTCCTAAAATAGTGGTAAGAGGCAGTACATACTATCTAAGGTATTTTGGGTAGGAATTTTGGGTAGGCATTATCTACATTAGGGTTAAGAATTATTTTTTTCAAGTGATGACCTTATAACTATAGTTGGAGAAATTACCTAAAACTTACAAAAACTTAAAAATAAACTATATAAACGTAAAAAACTGCGCAAATCCATTTTAAAGTATCACCAAAAGTTTGAAAGTTTGCTTAAAAAACTGTTTAACTTTTATATATTGTATATATTTAAATATAAACTTTATTTTAGATATATAAGATACAGAGTTTTTATCAAGGCCAAAAGTAACAAGGCCAAGGCCATGAATTTTAAGGTCAAGGCCAAGATTGAGTTTCAAGGCCAAAGCCTACGCAAACATTTTCAAGACCAAACACTTCAATTTATGCTATACGTTAAGGCCAATTATTAGCAAAACTGTATATAGCAAGTGCTGTGCAATAAAACCACATTTTGTAAAACCAAGGTTATGCGCAGAATTCAACAAAACCAATAAGAAAGTATGTATTTTTTTAAGACCAAGACCATGGCCAAGGCGAACAGTTTCAAGGCCAAAACTAAGGCCAAGGCCTCAATTTTTGGCTTTAAGGCAAGGCCAAGGGCTTACAACTCTGATAAAATATCAGAATGATTTAATTGGATAAAGTGATCACCCTTCCAATATTTCAAAGCCAAGAAATCGTATATATGGAAATTTGATTGAGAAACCACTGACGGATTTTTCAAAATTATCTAAGACATCATCAAAAGATATTATTTCTTTTTAGAATTGGGTAATATTCCTAAATTTAATGATGTTATTAAATAAATCTCAATTGAAGTTTATTAATTATGGAATAAAATGACGATACCATGTTTTACGGAGAAATTTGTGCAAAGAAAAGTTGTCTGCCAATCAAATCTTTAAATTTGTCATTTAATCAACACAAAGTACAAATAAGAAGACAAGTATTATAAATAGCTGGAATAAATTATTTGACTTATTGCCTAAAAATGCTAAATTTAAAAATCTGGAAGACAAACTCTTTTATGAAGTTCAGAAATCTTCCGAAAGTTCAGAAAATAATAATACAAGTGATGATTACACAATCGAATTGAAACGTGTAAACATCACCGGTAAAATGCTAGCTAAGATATCTGAAAATGAAGAGTATCCAATAAGCTGTACGGCAAAAATTGCAGAAGCTATACTCAATGCATTTGGCGAGACATCGTTTGCTGATTTGCAGTCCGAATAGCATCTCAGCACTCGTGCATGAATTAAGCTTGATTTGATCTTATATCGATTCTTCTGAAGAAATGTGGTACTTACATTTTGATGGTAAGAGTATAGACAAACAACATTATTATAACACTTGCATTTTGAGGAAGTCTAAATCTTTGGTTATATCTCTGAAAAAAAATAGAGAAAGGCAACTCTGTTTCTATTTATAACGTTGCACAATATTAACATAAAACTATTTCTTTTTCTTTTTTAGCTCGGTTGCATTAATTTTCTTTTGAATGCGCTTAATTATAAACATTTCGAAGGTCGGAATCATGTTATTGAAGCATTAAAGGTATAAAAAATTTATGTAAAATTTTTTTTTACCTTTTTTTTTTTGCAATGTTACTGTTAAATATTTCGTTCAGAACTTCAAAGATGTTAAAACAAAACAAACTTTTGATACAATCGAAGATCAAGTGTTTGCAATAGAGAAAACATCAATTCTGAAACATTAAATGATAAATTTCTTAATGTAAGTATACATATATTTTTTTTTATGAACTACATGAATCGAAGTCTATTATCGAGTATCTATAATCAAAGTCTGAAGGTAATTAGTGAAGAGAAAGAAAATGTAAGAGAATGGAGTGGAATCTGAAATTAAAATTCATTAAAATCTGAATATTATTTTGTTATTCTTCTTCATTCTTTTTTTTTTTTTAATAAACTTAGTTGATCAAAATTCTGAAAGTTCTCTTAATTTTGTAGTATAAATTTATAAAGTTTAAAGCCAAAGTTTTTTTCACAAATTTTAGCGTTCTTTTGGACAAAAACAAGTTTTCTACTCAAGTTACATGTTGCCGATTTTACATTTAAAAAGAAATCCGAAGTTAAAATTGTTTTTTGACATTATTTTTTTCATTTCTTTATTTTTTTATTTACAAAGACCATATATTATTTTTAGTTATTCGTTATTTTTCTTACGCTACAGGATTATGGGATTTTTTTTAGTTATTCGTTTTTTTGGTTACGCTACAGGACTATAAGATTATTTCAAGTTCAAGGTTATAATTACATCAAGTTTCAGGTTAGGGGTTTTTCATAAAGTACGTACGCAGGTATGTTGAACGGTGAAAGCATACAAGTGCGTACAAAGGGGGATGGAGGGTCCTAAATCAGTAGTTTTACTACGTACATACTTTATGGATGCCCCTTTATGAAATTAAAAAACGATTAACATGCAAAACACTGAATTTAATTCTAAACAAAGTTAATCTAAATGTATTATAATTTAAGTTAATAATTATAAACTAGTTTATATAGTGTAACGAGGTGCAAAATGAGTCACTTAAGCGCTAATACATCTAATACCCGTCTAACAACTTTTGAAAAAATAAATTGATATTTTTCAATTCTTCTACGATCCTACTTGAAGCCTAAAAAGTATGAGTTGCAAAACTGCAGTAGTTTGGTCACCAGAGATCATTTATTGACAGCACCTATCCTCTCTCATTTTGCCCCGCATACCGGGGCAAAATGAGACAGATTTTTTTTTAGTAATTTAAATAAATAAAGTTAAAAAAAAACAGATCTTTAAGAGGATTAGCAAGTAATACATTTTATAATATATTACAGCTATAATCAAACTGTCACTAGTCACATAAATCACATAATGCTTGACCAGTATTTTGAAACGAACAACAGTCCGAATGAGCCCAGGTTGTGCATTATGAAAATTGACTCCACTTATATATATATATATATATATATATATATATATATATATATATATATATATATATATATATATATATATATATCCACTACAAGAACTAATAAAACCATACATGCATATATTAAACTTATGTATTTAAAGCGCGCATAACATTCATTGTATTTTGTTTATACGTACTGCAATAACCTATGTGTTATAATCTACTCACTATATATTTTATATACTACTTACTTTATTACATTACAATACAATAAGATTATAAAATACAAACATAGTAATTATAAACATCAGGCAATTATTTGCTTCAATTTGATTAAATATTTGTTATATTTATATATAAGTTAACAAAATATAAAACGTAATTCTATATTGGATAACAACTAAACATTTCAATTAACAAAATAAAAAGTAAGTAAATACAGTATAATAAATTTAAATCTACAGCATGTAAATATTAATATTTGCTTTGGTTGTTGTTTTAATGTAAAAAATTAAATAAACATAATATTAGATATCGGCAAAAAAAAAAAATACAAACAGAATGTCTCGTTTTGCCCCGCATCATGTTGGCATCGAATAGCCTAATTTCCAGACTATTTTATTGAAGAAATAAAATACCAAAGAATGGAAATGAAAGAAAAAGGCCTAAAAATTCTAATTAAAAAAAAACTTTAAATATAAAAAGTTTTTCCACTCAGTGAGATCAAAAAAGGCTAGGAAAAAATATAATAACAACTCTTAAAAATTCGTCATTTTCGCGAGGCCGAGGGATGAAATGATTCCCCTTTTACTCAACTTTTTTATTTCAAAGTGACTCAATATATTTTTCATGACACAAAATAGTTTTTTAACACAACTACACTTTTAAAAATCATGCAAATAATAATTTGTAGGGCTAGCATTATGTTAAACGCGAACTGTCTCGTATTGCCCCGCTGTCTCATTTTGCCCCGCGTTACTCTAACTCATAACTTTCATATAGATATCTATATTAAAATCTTTATCTAAATCAATCCTTAATTTTCATCTACAAGATTGTCATCTTGTTAGTGAAGTTAGAGTTCCAACAATTATTAGTTGTTGTTTTTTTAATTTTACACATGAAACAAAAATTTAATAACTAGAAGGTTTTTATTTTGCGTAGCATGAACTTTCAAATGCTCTTCCGCGTTGCTCTGTGACCGTAGAAGACTGTAAGGACTTCTTGAGGCACCTAAAATAAAAAAAGCAAAAGATTATTCGAAAACTCGTTTTAATAATTATTTACATAAATTTTTTTATGAGGCTAGGTTCATTAAAAAATATAAATCATAGAAATATTAATAAAACTTAATAAATTCATTTTCATCCTTTATCTCAATTCTTAATTGAGATAAAGGATGAAAAATCTTTTTCACCTTTTATCTCAGTTAAAAAATCTTTTTCATATTAAAAAAAAACTTATCATAGGATTTAAAGCTTCCTAAAAATCTGTTAAATTTGTTGTGAAGGAGATTACTAAGTTGTGAAGGAGTTTACTAAGAAGTTGTGAAGGAGTTGACTAAAAAGTTGTAAAGGAATACTCTTTTAGAAATTTTATTCTTTCATATTATGAGCTTTCTTTTTTTTTCTTTTTTTTTTTGCATTTAATACTTTACAAATTTATTATGTTTTAGTTCTTTAAAGTAACTATGTGGAATAAAACATTTATATGATACGACACTTTTTACTTGTGTATGTAAAAAAGTAAATTTAACCAGTGGCTTAATTTCAAAGTCTGGTTCACGGGCAAGATTTTCAAAATAACTGACTCTTCCCTCTACCTCTCTTCAGTGACTAACAATTTAATTATCCAAATTTTGTGAAATCATTATAAAAAAATATTAGGCTTAAGCATTGACTAAATGATATATAAAAAAAACATGTATATTAAAACCTAGGTTATAATCGAAAAAGTTACGGAGAAAATATAAGTAATAAAAATATTTTTTATATGCCGTTTCCTAAAGTATGTTTATACTTATGTCAAATAATATTTTGCGATGAATGGAGGCTGGGAACAAAAAAGCTCTTAACACGTTCACGCCGGCGTGTACCACCGGTGGTACACACTAGACTGTCTCATTGGGCAGCGTGTACCACTGGTGGTACACACTAGACTGTCTCATTGGGCCCAATAGCCCAATTAGACAGTCTAGTGTGTACCACCGGTGGTACACGCCGGCGTGAACGTGTTAAACTTCATCTCCTCCCCTCACCCCAAACGTGAGGGGCAAAAAAATTGAGTTGATAAAATTAAGTCGATAAAAAAATTAAGTTGATAAAAAATTTTTTGTACTATTTTCAACTATACTTATATTTATCAATAAATTTTAAGTTTAATAGTATTATCTTTCACGTTCAAAAATTGTGACCTTATAAAATTTGTAACCCCCTCAAATTGAGTGAGGGGTTAAAACTTTATATTGTCATAACTTTTGTAATATTGGTACAAAAAATATTAGAGATATAACTGTAAATATAAGAAAGTTAGCTTATTCAGATGTGATAGATGTATGAAATGATTTAATTCAAACGCAGGTCATAAAGTGTTTGAAGCTTGGTGCCAGAAATCTACGTCAGAAATACTAACTGTTCTCGACTCGATAGTGTGAATGATATGGAGTTTGAAGTAAATTTTGTAAACAAAAAAACCTTAAACTCTGTACAAGTTTGCAAATCTAAAAAATTGACGACGAGAAGAACAAAAAGAAGGGTTGCTATAGTGCAGCACTTTTTATAAATTCCCATACAAGCATCAATCAAATAAAAAAATTATATTTATTTTGGCATACATTTATAAAGTTGTATGAAAAGATAAAATATGATTGTTATTATATTATTACCTAATTTATAAAAATATCAAAAATGTCTGAAATAATTCACTTCAGTGTACAGCTACAGCATTGTGTAATTGAGTCTAAAACATAAATTACTATTTAAAATTTAATATTTTAACTTTATATAACATACAACATACAGTCAATTCGTATAACTATAATATTAGTTATATATTATTAGAAAAAGCATTGATACAGAATTGAAAAAAGGTGAAAAAATTATCAAAATTGAACAATTCGAAATAAAAGTTATGAGGTTTTAAGTTTAGGTTTCAAGAAGACCTAACGATCTTGTCATAGAACACCGCGGAAGTGCATTTAACCAGGAAGTTCACGCCTCCTTCCTTACCGTGATGCAAAAATATGTCCAAGGCTTGTTTTGAACCTGCATCTCCTGCTTATAAAGCAAGCGCTCTAATCACTGTGCAACGGCCGCAATTTTAAAGAATCTGTGGTCAAAATAACTTTTTAACGCCAACTGTTATAACTTTGCCAATGCTTGTTAAAATGTTTATAACTTGGTATTAAAAGATAGGTGTAAGAGTGGGCTACAAATTTATAGTAGCATCTAGCCATAGGGCGTGGCCTGGTGGTTAGAGAGGACCCCGAACTATGATTTTTAACCCCAAAAAATGGAAAAAGTTTTCTTAAAACAGTATTTTATTAATGTAAATTATCTTTTTTATAAAAATGAAGTTCTTATTATTTGCTTCGAGACCACCACCAAATATGAGAGGTGTATCTTTGAGTTAGGGGTAGATGTGGTGGTGATTGTTTAACACTATGTTATTATATTAACTACTATTATCAAAAATAATTCATTTTAAAATAATATTTTTATCTCTCATAAAGTCAGTAAATCTAGCATAAAAATAAAATTTATACTTTACTACTTTACGACTAGTGGTTAGTGGTGTATAACTTGACTAAAAGGGATGGGGGTGCGCCCGCAGCGCCCCTCTCTTGCCCCATAAAAAAGTTTTTTTATGAGATTTAAAAAAAAAAATATCATATTTTCAACGTAAATAATTAGTATAAACAGATATTTTTTTTTACAAGATGTTTATCCATTAGTTTATCTATTTTCACATGGGAAAGAGTGTGTGCCCCTCCAATCTAAAAAAAAAAATTAAGTTTAAAATAAATTTAAATTGAAAAATATTTTGAAAAGATATTGCTTAAAATTATATATAATTTTACCCAATTTCTATAGAAATTAGAATAAACAATTGCTTTAACACTTTATTTTTTAATGCAAGTTACACAAGAGCATTTAAATTCTTAGTGAAAGGGCTATTTGACTCTTTTACCTAAAAAAAAAAGTTAAATGTTATAAAAATACAATACTGAAAATTATAGAAATTAGTGCAAACAAAATACAGATAATAATTAATTAGTGTCTTGGCTTTAAGTAAATGATTAAAATTTTAAATTCCATTAATGAAACTAAATAATAACCATTTTTTAACGATAGACACCACGTGAAGGTAAGAGCCGTCTATAAAAAAAAATTGTGCAAATCACAACACTTGCTGGTTACTTTTTTGCAAGTCACAACACTTGCGGTATTAATTTCGCAAGCAACAACACTTGCTGGTTATATATTATATATAAAATACTTGCTGGATATATATTATATGTATAAAAGTTTTATTAGTGATTTTGGGTTTAAAAAAAGCGTTAAAAAAGATGGCTAATATTACCGCATTTAGTGTTTTTTTTCAAAACTTAAATGTCAGAGAAAAAATTAGAGCTCTTTACTTTGATGAAACTTGTTATTAATTACCATTTTCTTTTGTTTTAAACAACGATTTTTCAGAATGAAAAATGTTTGCTTAAAACGTTGCTTAAAATAATGTTTAGGCGATCGTGCAAAAGTTCATTAGCGCCCTTATTTGCATTTTATTAAACTAAATATCTTGTAAAGGTTTCATAAATTTTTCATTTACAAATTTGTGTGTGTATATATATATATATATATATATATATATATATATATATATATATATATATATATATATATATATATATATACAAAAAAAATCAATAATTTTCTCTAAATTTAAATAAAAAATCAAAACAGTCCATTAGGTTTAATGAAAATTGCCGGGTAAAAGAGCTATCTCCTACTTCTGTTTTTTAAATATATTTTGCTTTGTGTAATTTATGGATCGTTTTAACGATATAAAAAATGTCGGTAAAACATATAAAACTAATAAACTGTCAAACTGAACAAATGACGGTGTTGTTTTGATTTTGATGACAAAAAAGAAAAATGTAATTTTTTTAATCATTTTAATTTTTCTTGGCTTAATCAATAACCAACTACTAATCATTAATTTATTTACCAATTATAAATGCTTCATATATATTCCATATAACACGTGGACGTCTAACCTGTGATAGTTAAATAATTGTTCAAAATTTAAGATAAGTTGCAATAAAACATTTTATAACCATTAAGTATAAATTTATTAATACAAAATATTGTCATTTAAATGTACAACACCAAATTAATTTTTAATAATATTTAAATAATCAATATGCAGACGTTATTTCATCTGACTATTTTGCGTGAAATTCCTAAGTCCGGCAAGAAAACTTAAATAATCATGCAATAATTAAACTCTTAAAATGATAGCTAGTAAAGTGCTTTTAAAAAAGTGAAATAAAAAATAAAAAAATTAAACTAAAAGCACACTTTAAAATACCTCCCTCTTTTTTTTTAAATCAAATCTCAGCTGTGAAGACTAATAACTTAATACGAATTTTACTTTTTATATTTTATTTTTTTAATTTAAATTTTACTTTTTATATACAGTTTTTATTAATAGACAAAAGCTTCTAAAACTTCGCGATAACTATCTAGACTCAAAGAAAAGCCGCAGCAACGTCTTTAGTCCAGTAGATAGAAGTTTATAATTGCAATATATACAAAGTTTTTCTTGTTTGACTTCCCAAGCTTCTTCTACTTGTTCTTTGCTTCTTCCAAAAAAAAAAAAATATTGTCTGCACCTGGAGTACTAATCACCATGACAATAAAATAACTTAAAAAAAGATCTGTTTTGCAAATTGTCTTAAAATTATCTCACTCCAATTGCAACACCTTTAGCTGGTGAGGAAGATTTAGGCCACCTATCACTCGAAGTATATGTTCCACAGCCACCATAATGCATTTCTGTCAACATAAAAAAGTTTTGAGGAATGTTTATATTTCCCACTGGAAGTAACGCCGTCTTACGCCAATCAACTGCTACTCCTTGTTGTTCATACACCAAATTTCCGGCAAGGTAAGAAGAAGGAGCTTTACCATCAAGGTTTGGAAAAAATATAAAGTGGTTGTTTGGATTTCCGTCACAATTTCGAAAATAGATATATTTATCATTTGAATAAAAACCTTCAATATTTCCTGCTTTAGAGTCTACTGCACGCAATGTTCCTAGATGAATATATGGTTTCATACCATTATTAACAGGAGCAGTAAACTGATTATATCCGTTAAGTTGTACATCAAGATACGGTGACTTCAAAATAGTATAAGGTTGGGTTCCGTCCAGTTTTAAAATTTTGAGAAGAACATCTTGTTTTTTTGTGAACAAATAATGAATATCATTCGGCTCCATTTTAGCCACCATTTCTCTAGAGATAAATGTATAACCTCCTCCATTCGTTAACATGTCACAAAACACCCGATGGTTTCCACTTGGTAACCATATTTCATACATTCCTGATTTAGCTTTTGGATAAATAGTTTTTATATACAAACATGTTGAATCCTGAAAAAAAAAGAAAAAATGTTACTTGTAACTGCAAAGTCAAAGATAATTAAAGAAATAACAGTTAAAACTTCAAATAAAAATAAAGTTAAAGATAAAAAATGTAGGTTTCATTTTTTTTTTTTTAAACAAAAGCTTAGTAAATATAAAAAAAAAATTTATTTTTGTTGTAAAGAAGAAAAAAATTGTTTTGCTTATATCATCTTAAAAAAAATTTGACCGCATGAAAACCTATCCTAAACATTTTTTATTATCACTAATTAGTTTTTTAGATTTGTGTTGTTTTATGTTTTAAATATTTTGAAATAAAAACAAACTTGAATTATTAAATAAATAAGAAATTTTTTTAGGGTTAAAAGAGTGGACCGTGGACTAGAGTGACCCCAGGTCTGATTTTTCTTTTCCAATAGTTATGGTATTTAGAACTCCTGGGGGTTTAGATAAAGTAAAAAAATTGTTATTTAAAATTGTGTAAATAATTGCGTTCTGTTTATATAAAACGTGTGCTGTTTGTCTCACACAGTTGGATAATGTCATCTAATATATATATATATATATATATATATATATATATATATATATATATATATATATATATATATATATATATATATATATATATATATATATATATATATATATATATATATATATATATATATATATTATATATATATATATATATATATATATATATATATATATATATATATATATATACTTATAAAATTATACAGATTGAGAAATTTAAGTATATGTAAGTATATGACATTTAAGTACATGCATGCATGAATAGGTTTGAACATGTATTGTATTATACATTATACCTAAATACATATACAATAGTTAAGTTTTTTAATGTATGTCATAATTAACATACTGTACATTTAAGTGTAAATTACATAGGATGAATAGACTAAAGCTAACGGTACTTTTTGTAAGCTTATTGAGCCTCTAAAGTTAAAAGGTGTAACTATTATGTTCCAATTGACCTTAAACGCACAAGTTTAGAATAATTAGTAATGGTAGGAAGTAAAGTTGTAAATATTGTGAAGAACTGATTGCTCATTGAATAAACACTGCAGCAACTTTTCCCTGGACGAAATTTGTTTATATAAAAAAGTTGCAAATCCAACACTTTTGTAAATCTTTGTTTTATTGCAGGAGAAATCTTATGAGTTTTAGATGATTTTACCAAACTATGTAAGACAAACATATTTTATATAAACAGCACGCAATTATTTACACAAGTTATCAACTGCGCAGATTTTCAACGCATTTTGTCGAAAATGTAAGAACATTTTTATGACTTGAAAAACCATTTTTTTAAACATCAGTTTTTTTACTTTGTGCATCTAACCCCCCACCCCCCAGAAGTTTTAAATACCATATTTGGTGTTTATTAATGTATATCTAACTATTAGAAAAGAAAAATCAGACCTTGGGAACAATTTACCCTGGCGGTCACTCTGGTCCACAGTGATTATACTACAAAATTTATTTCAAAAACTTAAACTTTAAATTTTGATTACTTTTTTTTAGTTTAGTTCACAAAAAGATATAGTTAATTGGTCAAAAATTATGTAAGCATTATATTATATGGGCCAGCTTACCCCGATAACTCGGTATATTGGCAACATTACCGAACAAAAACTATTATTAATGTATTGAAAACCAAAATGATAAAGCTATTTTTGAGTAGGCTAGGGTCTTCTCAAACTCTTTTCATAAAAAAATAAAATTAAAAAAACAAAGTTTTTTACGAAGTAACTTATCAAAGAAAAAAACATGGGCCAACGTGCGATGGTTTACTCTACTTTAACTATTTTATGCAGAGACAAAGTTCAGCAAGTTATAAAAAGAATAATCGAGTCTGGAAGCAAAATTTCAGCACTTATAAGGTTTTTACACGCTCACGATTATCACTGAAATTCAAAATACCGGTTTGTTACTACTCAACATCAACAAAAAATGAGCAGTTAGAGTTACGAATAGTCTACACGTTTGAAGAAAATCATCTCAACCAGAATCTTATTCATCTCAACCACTAGAATCTATGTCACTTTTACACTTCGTGTAAAATTATAGTAAATACGTCAAACAAGTTTATCCGCGAAAGTTTCCTTTTTGTTTTGCTAAACATTAAAGATTCATCTCACAGGGGTTTGATAATGATAATCTATATCTTGACCTGGTCGTGTAAATATGTTATATAGATAAATAAGAAATCAGTAGCTAAGATTGAGTAAATATGGAAAATTTTTGTATCATAGGAACTTGAAACATTTCGGTCTTGTAAAAAATTGTGTCACAACGTATTTTCAGTTTACTTTCTAGATTAGATATAATCTTAGAAACAAGAGGTTCGGCCAGGGCCGGCATGAAGAGATTTTCAAGGGTTTTCCGACATTTGTCGACTGCCAACTATAAATCCAATTTTGCCGACTCCAGTGTCCAATATGCCGACTAATAAAATACGTAGGAGAGCTAGACACCCCCTACGCCCTCCGTCCCTTGCGACGGCCCACAAAAAAATCTTATGTTAGTTGCATTTCTAAACCACAATGAATCTTTTTAATTATTTGGCTAATGATTAAAAGGTATTACAAGTTTATCAAATATTTTTCTTGTGTAATGAGATGTTGTTGCATTTTTATAACAACAATATCTAATACCTGTATGTCAATTGCAACATAACGTTAACTTAGAATATTGACATATTAAAGAACTTTCTTTAAAGTAAAATGTATTTTATCAAAATAGCTAAATAAATAAAAATGATATATATATAAATATAAACAAATAAATAAATGAAAATATTGAGTGCTTTGTAAATGATAATAAAAATTTTGCTTGTGGGATTTGTCAACTCACTTTGATTTATTTTTTGATTCGACTTTTTCCTACTTTTTTATTTGTGCTAAGGTTTTTAAATCTTTGAGATATTTATAAATTAATTTATATTAATATATATATATTAATATAAATTAGTTTATATTAAACTCCGTTATATAAACTAAGTTCCGTTATATATATATATATATATATATATATATATATATATATATATATATATATATATATATATATATATATATA